GCCACAGGGGTCCCATGCAGTATTGAGGAGGCCTCCCTGTAGCTCTGCTGTATTTATCAGAGATCTAGCTGCTGCTCAAACACATGCTCAGAGACCCTAATATAAAATCCCATGCACCAATTCATTTTCAAGATTGTAAATAAAAAAAGCAAGACATATCTCAGGCATGGCCCAGTCTCCACCAATAAGGACAAGCCCCATGGTATGAGCCTGCTGTAAAATACCACAGAGTTGCAGAAGGTGGCAGTAGAGAGAGCTAGATCAGGCTCTTTTGGTGACAGCTGTGCCCTTCTAATGGCTAGTCCACAGAGAGGATAAGGGAGTTGGTACTAGTACTGCCAGATAGAGTTGCAATAAACGGAGTGACTCCTTACCCATCCCCCTCACTCTGAGCAGGAGGGAAAGGATCTAGCCAGTGGGGTGCAATGTGTTGCACTGTTCAATATCCAGACACTAGAGAGCTCTGTAAGTTCAGTAAAAAGGTGTAATATCCTGAGATCAAGGGTGACGAGGGTCAGGAAAGAGGCAGACGCTGCATGTGTGCAGGAGCAACAGGCTGGAGGCAGCCACTGGAGAGCTGGCTGGGGAAGGAAGTCTGGGTAGCAGGCACGCTGAGAGATGAGCAAGGAAGCAACATGTTGCCAGTAAAGCCTCAGTAGTAATTGCAGCAGGAGGATAGCGGGCAGTGACCAATAAGCAGGGAACCACCTGCATGTTGGGCTCCAACAAGGCCAAGAGAACTGAGTGGGCAAAAGAGTCACTGCTGTGTTACATCCAGGAGATGGGAGGCTGGAAGGGAGTATCCCTGGTACTAAACTGGAAGCCACAAGGTACAGTTACCTTTATGCCCCACAAATGGACTGCCCCAAAGGACTGACTTCTGTACTGTTGGGTTGATTAAAAGTCCTTGCACCAGGGTATCTGCACTTCTTATGTTCTGGCAGCCCTAGTGATGTGTAGTGTAGTTAGTTGAAATGTGTGAGTGTTAACAGGTTTGGTGTTCAGTGATCACTCCGTGCTTCAGGAGCTTGCTAGAGATTTGTTTTTTTATTATGTCAGTTTCCAACTAGCTGTGCATAACAACAGCTTCACAGTGCCCTGCCCAGACTCTCGCTGGGAAGCTGAGCCCTTAAATGCTCAGTCCCCAAAATCACAATCAGAATTCCCTGCCCAAAGACTACAGCCTGCGAAGAGCTAGTGCTTGCAGCAGCTACAGGGTTTGCCTTCCTAGCTCGTGGTATACAAAGCATGCTCCCAGATATCTAGAGTAGACTGGTATTTTACTGCACTCACAGGGAAACCCTGCAATGGGTTGGTTAAAAAGTTCCCCTTTAGCAGAAATGTCAGAGGTCTGTGTTTTTGAAACTATATGTCCAGCATTGTAGTCCCTGCTCTCCTTGTGTGAGTTATATAGTAATTGTGCCTGGCATCTGCTGACATGTATTTGTTACAACATATCACATCCAAAATAATTAGGCATCGTGTAGGGTTGGATATTGATTTTAGTAACTTCCATTTCTCTTTTAATGACAGATGGAGAGAAATGAGCATGGAATTCAGTTCAACATAACAGTAATTTATATATAAACAGACGAGTGAAAATTTACTTTCACTGAAAGGAATTTGTCATTTGTGAGGCTTCTTTAGTAATCCATTTCAGTCCCAATTAAGGATGACAGATTTGTAGGATGCTTCACTAAGAATAATAAAAATAAACATTTATTAGCACAAGTTTATATTTATCTTTCTCTGTCTGGTGCCAGTTCCTGCAGATCTGTAAAATGCCACGCTCAACTGTGGCATTATATAAATAATAATCTTCCAGCCTAGAAAGTTCCCCTGTGACTAGACATTATAGGTGTTTTGCAGATTTTCCTTGCTCCAGCAAGTACATGTAGAGTGTTTTGGTGGAAGTTTTCTAAGGTTGCAATTTCTTAAATAACAGATTATTTGGGCCTAGTTGACCATTGCTCCAGTCTTACATTAGTGTAACTCCACTGAAATCAGTGGAGCTACACTGATGTAAAATGGGAATAATGCACTGGTGAATCAGGCTCCTTATTTTCCTTTTTCTGTGTAGGTTTCTCCAGTTATACTGTCTTATCTACTTGTCTATTTCGAACATAAACTCTTGGAGCAGAGACCTTGTCTCCATCTATTCATGTAAAGCATTAAGTACGTTACATATATAAATATAACCCAGCACCTCTCACTGTCAGTGGTTATACCTCCCAATAGCCAGGCACTGAGTCTTGCACTCAAGTTGGCAACTACAGCATAAAAGGGGCATCCATACCTGAGTGCCACTCATTTTCCACCAAGATAGCTTGAGTTATGAGTGAGTTCCACTCCCCATTCTGTTTTGCCCACTCAGTCCTTCCTAAATAGGTTATAACCATTGATTTTAACATTTCAATCATGCAAATCTTCCCACCATGTTTCAGTTATACCAACTGGGTCAAATTTATACTAATAAATGAGCAAGTCCAATTCCTCTCATTTATTACCCAGATTACTAGCATAGTATATAGGCTAATAAAGAATTTATTCTCTTTAAGTTCCCTGGTTTCTTGATTAATTTTGTTCTCAACATCTTGATTTTGTTTTACATAAGTTCTCATTTATTCTCCCTTTTCACCCTCCTCTTTTGTTCTTCTTTAATGCGCTCCAGACTAGTCTAGCCAGCCCCTAGAAGATTTGTTCCCCTTTTATTGAGATGGAGGCCATCCAAATTGTACAGCCTCCTTGCCCCAAAGAAGGTGGACCAATGTTCCACAAAACTAAAACCCTGTATCTGACACCACTTACCAAGCCAGCATTTCATTTCCAGAATCTTCAATTTTCTGTCTTCCTTCACTCTCAATATAAGGATTTCCAAGAAGATCATTTGGACGTTCTTCTCCTTCAGTGCCCTTCCGAATTCCCTGAAGTTGTCTATAATCTGTGAAGCAGTGTCACTAGTGCCAATATACACCATTGTTAATGGATTTTTGCACACCAACTTCAGAAGCCTATCTAGTCTTACAGTCAAATCTCGTACATGGGAAGACAACACATCATCCTGTTGTCCACCTGTGCCTTGCAGAATTTTCTTTCCATTCTTCTAAGTACCAAAACCCCAACAAGGACAGGCTGTCTTCCTTGGATCATTGGAGATCTCTTCATGGTCAGCTTCGATTACCCTGCAGGTTGGGCTGTACAGCCACCCACAGTATGTCCTATGCAGCTCTCCATTCTGTTTGACCAGCTGGATCTTCAGAGATATCTTCTACAGTTTCCACACTGAGAACGTGATAAAAGTTGGGTACTTCTATCTGTGTGGAATTCTTACGGGGGCTCTTCTCTCCGTTGGTCACAGCCTGCCCATCCTTCATCTGCCTCCAGCCATGTAGCAAGCCACCTGGCCCTCTTGCCTCTGGTGGCAACTACCAAACCTCCTCTCTAGTGTCCATACTCTCAGGTTCCTTGGCAGACAGTTCCTTTGTTTTTTGAATCTGGAGTGGTGAAGCTTCCTGAATCTGGTCATCCAAGAATCCCTCAACCTCTCTGATGTTCCGTGATATCTGAACTGGTCTTCCAGACCACAAATCTTTTCTTCCAGCACAGTTACCAGCTTGTACTTCATACAGAGGAAATCCCTTGTGGCTTCCAGTAGGAAACAAAACATGGCACATATATTGTTTATGACAACTACAGTTCTATTGCTGGACATCACAGCATTAAGTGTAGAGCTATACCTAGAACAAAAACTCCTGTTTGCTATTCCTGTTCACTTGGTCATGAGTTTACTTGGCAAATGACTTTCACTCTTCACTCCAACCCTTCACTAACAAGGAGCGAATAACTTCTCACCAAGTTCATCTACCTCCAAGTACAGCATCCACAGGTATGCACTCTAAAACTCCCATTTGCCACTCCTGTTTGCTGTTATGGTCAAAATTTTGTGGCAAGCTGAATCTAAATTAAACTTTGGCCTAAGAAGGAGAAATGTGTAATGCCAGTAGAACGAGTCCCAACTCAGATTCCCAATTCTATATAGGTTCTTATATCACACCCCTCACTCTGGTATCTGAATGTGAGGAGGCCACTTGCTAGCCTATAGCCCATAGTATTAAAATCAAGTCCCAATCCTTAAACAAGATGCGGAATGAGCATTTCAAATAATCAGGTGTTGCTCTTTCTCTGTTCTGCGATATATTTTTGAGTAGAAAACAAGTGAAACCACTGGGATTCAAGATATATCTCTAGATCAGTTCTGTGACAGTCACAGGACCACTTATACTCAAGGGTAGTCTGTGGCATTGCTTTCCAGTTTAAACTACTGTAGAATGAAACCATGGAAATTCAGTTTTCTTTGGATACAAGAGGAATTTTATTAGCCTGCACAGATGAAAACTAAGGATCCCTATATCAGTGGCTCTCAACCAGGGGCACGCGAACCCCTGGGAGTACACAGAGGTCTTCTAAGGGCTACATCAACTTATCTAGCTATTTCCCTAGTTTTACCAGCAGGCTACTGACATGTAAGTACAATATTTATATTTCAATTGATTTATTTTATAACATGGTAAAAATGAGCAAGTTAGCAATATTTCAGTAATAGTGTGCTGTGGAACTTTTGTGTATTTATGTCTGGTTTTGTAAGCAAGTAATTTTTAAGTGAGGTGAAACTTGGAGGTTTTTATGCAAGAAAATCAGACTCCTGAAAGGGATAGAGTAATCTGGAAAGGTTGGGAGCCACTGCTCTAGATCACCCAAACATCATCATCCACATTTTTAAAGTTCTCTTGGGATTGGGAAACTTTTGTTTCAGTGAATTTTGACAGACATTTAGTGCATCTGATGTGAATAGCTGAACTATACGGTGAACCTGATTGCCTATAGATGGGGCTATTGTTTATGTGAAAGTAAAAGCACATTGTTTCTTTCTAGTGTCTCATTTCAAAAGTAAAGACTTCAGTGATAACAGTCGATTAGGAAATAGCATATTGTGAAGGGAGTCTGAATAAAGCTGTATCACATAGTAATCTACTCTAGTGTTCTCAGAGATGGACTATCTTGCCTGCCTTATTGTTGTTCTCCAGTTATATGAAAGTAAGATTGCTTTCTTTTTCGTTGTTAATATATGTTCTTTTTTTTCTTGAATGACAGATATAATCAGAATTCATCAGTATTTATGTGTGGCTTAAATAGTTTTTCTGAATGCCTTAAAAGTTAACGGTTATAAGTAATAACACCCATAAGGATTTTGCTGGGCCTGTTTTTGTGCTGCCAGGCTTTTCAACATCTCAGATATTTTGCTTGATCTTAGTATGTTAGCTCGCTAGTTGTATTAAACTTTGAAACTACAATTAGTGCTAACGCTGTGTATGTGTTTCAGCCATGGGGGAAGGAAGATTTGTGGATGCAACTGTAAAACTCACCAATAATATGAATCTGGAATGCATCTATCCAAAGACAGCTGGTATAACCCAGATGTCCTGGGTTAAGAGTATTGCAACTGGCAAAGAAACTATTGCTGTCTCCCACCCATTGTACGGTGTGCATATTGAAGACAAATATAAAGACAGAGTTCGCTTTATAAATGCTTCCTCAAGAGACAGGTCCCTAAATTTCATCAAGACCACTGAAGCAGACGTGGGCTTGTATTTATGCTCCATAACTTTCTCAGACGGAGTTTGGGAAAAGGTGGTACAGGTTATCCAATCAGGTAAGTGAAACCTTTGCTATTTTATAAATTGCTGGTAAATGTAAATATATACAAAGTTAGGAAAGATCTGGGCTCTCCTTTTGGTAACAGAATTTGGTGGATGATTCAGTTGCTCTGCTATGTGGAAATGGAGTAATTTGGAGATTGCTTGCTACCATTTCAGAAAATAATTACATTGCCAGGGATCCAAGTTAGGGGTGCTCAACATATATCACAAAGGAGAAGAGCTGAATGTTTGAGGGAAGACATCACAGCAGTGATACAAATTTATTTAATTGCCATGACAAGGGTTTAGCAATGACAGGGTTTTAGAGAATATTGCACATTGCAACATCAGTGAGCCATTTCCATTGGGAAATAATATCTCATGACATTGCAACCTCACTACATGTATGAAATTAGCCCTTGTCGCCACCGTAGATTGTACTTTTTTGGGGTACGTGCTTTTGGGTCCACACTACCTGGTCATCAGTCCTTCTGCCCCAGGATTAATTCCTTTAGAAGCTCTTCAGAAACAGAATGACAGAGTAATTAGCCATTTAGGAATGAAGAGACTACAAAAGGGAGACTAGGAGTACTTGTGGCACCTTAGAGACTAACCAATTTATTTGAGCATGAGCTTTCATGAGCTACAGCTCACTTCATCGGATTGGTTAGTCTCTAAGGTGCCACAAGTACTCCTTTTCTTTTTGCGAATACAGACTAACACGGCTGTTACTCTGAAAAGGGAGACTGTTAGGAAAGGGTAAAAAACAAACAAAAATCCCTCTCTCCAAATGGACATTGTTTAAAGCCGGGGAGAGGAGGAAGTCATAGCCATGTTAATGAAAGTCTGTACAGGAGAGGGAAGGGGCCCATGTGGCTTCACCTATCCCTGTAGTTGCTGACTGTTCTTATTGTTTGCTTTCTCTCCTTGCCCCTGTGGGAGAGGAAAGCTGGAGGATCCTTTCCTTCTTGCTGTCCCGTGGAGGTAGGAGCAGCAAGGTAGTTGTTTGTTTGGCTCTTCTGTCAAGACTGCCAGCAGTGAGGACGCTTAGTGCCAGTTAATAACATCTATCTACTAGGAGCTGGATTACAAACATAAATTCATTTTGTGCAGGCTATTGAACAGCTTTCAGAAGATAATACATTTTGGTCACTACTCAACCTGGGCTACATTTGAACTGCTGACCAGTGAAAGTCTGTGTCCTGTTCCAGACCGTTAGAGCTACTGTGGTAAAATTTGACTCTTCGTATCTCCATTTTAAATTTTTTTTTGGTATTTCCCTCTCAGGCAATGATGAGCTGAAAGTAGAATTTAGCCTCTAACAGTTGGAATCCAGTAGCTGCTAATGGGACACTTCCTTTTTAAATTCCATCTTCCTTTCCTGCACTCTGTCCTCTATCCTTCATTTATTTCAGTATCCTTATAAGTATAAGTTGCAGTTGTAGTCAGAGTTAGCTGTATAAAAATGATATTTGGGGGATCCATATTGTCCCACGGTGAATATTCTTTCACGTTAATCCCAGGTCAAATATGAGAGAAGACTTTTCTGACTTCCAGGCTCAGCCTGAGATCTAAACGCCTGTATTCTCTCTACCTCTCGCCTTTCCTCCAGAATTAAGATGTTGCACTTGGGTTTAAGATGACACTTTTGTTGAGGTGGAATCCAGGTCATCCTTCCCTACCTATCTTAGCTCTGTCAATTGTAAAAACTTCTCTTTGTCAGCATAGTGACCAGATGTGGGGAATGTGAAGATGCTGTTTTTACACAGTTACTTTCCTGACTAAAACAACACTTTTAAAACTTATTAATTCTGTTTCTTTCCCCCCTGCCCCACAAGTTGTTTTAGCTAGAGCAGAAATTCTGGGATGGAAATGACTATACCTGTTATGTAGCCATCAATCAGTCTACCAGGTGAGGGGAGCATTTTTTCCCCTGAAACAAGTATGGGGATTGTGTTAGCAGTCTGCCAACAGCAGGGAAGGCTTCATTAGCTGCACCTTGCACCTGTAACAGTCAGTCATTGATAAATCCAGGGTGGAGCTCCATACTTACCCTCGCCAATGGTTTCCTTCAGTGATATCCCTGAGTAGCGGCTTTTTTGTTCTATTTCTCTTGTTAGATTAGGGGTCTTTACTGATCTTCTAAAGAGACCAAAATGCAAAGTTAAAAGGTTCTGGAGGGAAAGACAATCCTTCTTTGCTTGAAGGATAAGAGGGAAGATTTCCTAAGGGCCATAGGGACCAAATGCTAATTTGAGCCTTTGAAAATCTTCTCTAAAGCCACAGAACTTTTAATATGGTTTATATCACTCAGCCTAGAGATTGTTTCTAAAGGCTAAACCAAACAATTAGGTCCCCTAAACATAGTAAATATTTTCAGTTTTAAAAGTGATTTTAAATAATATCTGACTGGTACATTTGACTTTCCTAATCCTATTCTTTTAATTAATTGAAACACAGGAGGTTTAAAAAGAATTGTAATAGAAACCAAAGAGCAGTGGAAGGAAAGTTTGTGGTCTCTACTCTTTCCTTTGGTGAAATGTCAATATGAAAATATCAGTGATGACACCAGCAAACACCTGAACATTTTTTTATTAACTTCTTGTGATACTATTTGCAGAGCTTAGGAAGTGGTTTTTACACGCCATCTATCCCAGTATTTCATTTAGCAAGTTGTGAGGCACAGATATGTAACCCTGACTCCAGCACATTGGCTAGCAGTGCCATTTACAGAGAGATCAATGGGTCAGTGGCCTATATCTGTATTCAGTTCTTGCATCCCACACACACTGACCCACCACCTCTAACAAATAAAAAGCCAAAACCAAACAGAAGTCTAGCTGAGACTTGTTGGACTTACACCCTGACAGACTAAAGACTACAAGAGTCAGAAGCTCTTCCTTGTAACTTTTTACCTGTCTCCAAGCACTGGTTCAGCTGGCACTGCCTAAAGTAGCTACCATGCCCTAAACCCAGAACAAGCACCGAGTGAGTCATGGAGAGTTTTCAGTTTGTGATGGTGTAGCATGGAATTAATGAATTTGGGAGATCCTGCACCTAAATAGCACAATGTTCAGGGCCTGAATTGGAAAGAAAATGGTGCTTTTGGTTAAGGGGGGACTTATTACAGTCAATAAGTACCTACATGGGAAACACATATTTGACAATGGGCTCTTCCATCTAGCAGAGGCAAGTATAATGGCTGGCAGTTAACCACTGGAACAACTTACCGAGGATCATGACTGGATGATCACAGCCTTCTGGTCTTGGAAGCTATTAATGGGCTTCAGCTACTTGAGATGCAATGTACAATACACAGTGCAGATGTTCAAAACATGATCATAGGTACCTTGGCTTGGTTCCCTCTCAGTGATATTCAAATACACCCCGGGATAGTGCCAGATTGAAGCATAGGCAAAAATCTTGGTGCACCTAAGAGACTGGCATGAGCCGTGCGATGATGTCAAAATCTAAGTTTTCACTTCAGGGGAAAAGAAAAAGATTTCTAGGCCTTGAATTGCAAAGAGAGGTTTGAAAACTTGAAAAGATACAGTGCTGTCTGCCTGCAGCAGTTGTTGGACCAGCAGTTGTTAATCAGAGAGAAAGCCACCTGGCCTCAGGCTCATACTCCTGACCAGGTTAGGCCCTCACGACTCTGGGAAAGGGAAAAGGTGCATGGATAGTCAGTGAGGAGGCATGGTTGTCCTGTTGGGCTATGTGGGATCCACCCCTTGGTAGGGCTCAGATGTCCCACCAGCTTCCACTTCATAGCCATGAGAGTTCAAAGCTTACTTTAAAACAAAAAAAGTAAAGAACAACATGGCTGTCTCAAGAAAAAAGGGAAAAGGTTGGTGACCCTTTGTGACCAATCCCAATTTGAGCTCTTAGCAAGTCTACCCTTTCTTGACAGGGATTTCCCATAAAATCTAAAAAATTAAAAGTGGAAGAGACCTATAGGTCCTTCGCTCCATCACTCTGCCCTTTCAGGATTGTGCCCAGATCTGTATTTTTGAGTGCTTTGGCCAGTCTAACTTAAAATTCCTCAAGAAACAAGGCTTCCACCTTTTCCTTTGGGAAATTAATCCACAGTGTAATATCTGCAAATGGCATCCCCTTCACATATATCAGCAAATTATAAATCCCAGTTAAAATTTGCAGCCGTTGTCAGAGGTAACTATCTAAAAATGATATCATGAGGTTTGGTATGCTCAGTGTTAGGGATTCCCCCCCCCACACACACATTTTAGCGCTTTTAAAAAAAATTCTTCAGATGTTCTCTTTAATCTGCCAAGAGAGAGAATAAATGTCACATAGAAATAACATTTTTTTTTTCATTTAGAAAAATTAAGCCTGGGAATAAGAACAATTGTGTGAATTATTTGCTTCCCTAAAGGTGTATGTAAACATCGGTCTAAATGGAATGAACTGCCTTACCACTGGAGTCTATGCCTTATAACTTTATTCTACCACATGCATTAAACAATTAAAAATAAGATAGTTAAAAAAAATAGATAAAAGATATCTATCACAGCAAGATCATAGCAGAACATTTTCTGTCAGTTATATCTAATTTTATAGATATAAATATATACAATCCTGGAGTCAATGAAGGTAGGATGATCTGGCAAATAAAGCACTGAACTATAATTCAGGAGACCTGAGTTTTAGTCCCAGCTCTGCCACTGACCAGCAGTATACGATCTTGAGCAAGTCACTTCCCCTCTTGCTTTTAGTTTCACATTGCTGTGTTAGTTTTTCTACTTTTAATATGGAGATAGTCACATTTGACTTTTTTTCTAAAATGCTTTGAGATTTATGGATGAAAAGTGCTATATGAGAGCAAAGTATTATAGTTCCCTCTGTTTTGCTTCATGTCCTGCAGCATAAATTCCATTATCAAGTAACTCTGAGTACCTGTAAAAAGATAGCTGTTATTGAGGCAGTATTCTTTTATTCACAAATCTGGCCAATATATCAGAAGGTTTCAGAGTAACAGCCGTGTTAGTCTGTATTC